TGACCCACAGGACAGTGAGCACGGCTGGGCGTGGGGCACCTTCCTCATTCTTCTCAAAGCTTCCTTAGGAGGAATTCCTGGGCTTCTAGGTCGGGGGAGCCACAGCCCCCTGGACTTCCCCCCCGCTCACTAGAGCGCACCCGGGTCCTGGTCCCGGCCGCTCCCTGCCCGCCTCCTCCCCACCCGGGGTCTGTGTGCCCACGCTGGGCCCTGCAGGCTCACCCAGGGAGCACCCACAGTTAACCGGGGTCTGTGTGCCCGCGCTGGGCGCTGCAGGCTCACCCAGGGAGCACCCACAGTTAACCGGGGTCTGTGTGCCCGCGCTGGGTGCTGCAGGTTCACCCAGGGAGCACCCACAGTTAGCGCTTCTCCCTGAGTGTCTCCTCTGCCCTGTGGTTTTGTTTCTGCTCAAACACATGGAACCGGCAATTTGGTGGCGGAGTTGCCCAAAATACTCCCTTCCCAGCCAAGCCCATGGGCCTTCCCAGGGCGGAGAGTCTGGCTCCTTCCTCTCCCTCCCAGCCCCGCCCCACCGCCCGGGCCGGTTTCCGGCCTCCGCACACGCAGAGTGCTGTCCATGGCCCCCCGGCACCTGCACAGCAGCCCCTGGAGAAGATGGGGCCGACCCCACCCGGAGCCAGCTCCAGGGTTAGCCTGAGCCCCACGCAGCCACGGAGCCGCAGAGCCGGGGCCCAGGCTGGCTGGAGGCAGCCCCTGCCGTCCTCGACATGCCCATGTGAGCCGAGGACCCGACGGGCTCACAGCTCGGTCCACCCAGCACCTGGCTCGCACCTGCCACCACCGCCCCCCAGGGCTCCCTCTCTGTCATCTAGACAATGGGGAGGCGACTACCATCAGGGTGGTTGTGGGTTTAAATGAGACCCACATGCGTGGCACTCAGCCCAGGTCACGTGAGCCTCACTGCTCGTTTCAAGACGTGAGGACGGGAGGCCGGCAGCAGACATCCTGCGCTGTCCAGCATCACAACTGGCCACTTGGGGCTATTTATACTTCACTTAAATTCATTAAAACCAAATCAAATAAAAACTTAGACCCTGAGTCGCTCTAGCCACATTCCAGGCTCAGGGGCCACGTGTGACCAGTGGCGTCTGCCGGGACGGCACCGAGAACGCTCACGCGGCGGAAAGCTGTCGGCCGCGCCGCCGTGGGTGGCTGGCGGCCCTGGGGGTGGCAGTCCCGAGCCCCTCCTCTGACCCGCTCTGAAAGCCCAGCAGGCAGCGCAGCAGATGTGGGGTCAGAGGCACGGACAGGCCTTCGGCCCAGGCCCGCGCAGAGCCCTCCCCCTCGGCACCACTGCCGAGAAGCCCTCTCGAACTTCCTCGCACATCTCCTGAGATGAGTGGCTCACCACTGCCCACGGCCGCCCACTCCACCTCTGCTGGTGTGCCCACAGGAGGAACCAAAGCCCCGCTCTCTGCAGACCCTACTGCGGCTGCCGTGAGCCCACCGGGACCCAGGGACAGCATTTTATGGGTCTGGCTGCCAGGCAGCACCCTGCGTGCGACCCTTCAGGGCCAGCCGCAGGCAATGACGGGCGTTGCCTCGCAGGCCTCAGGCAGGGCTGTGCCCCCCCCACCAGCCTGGAGTACAGCCCATGTGCCGCAGCGTCCTGGGGGCTGCCGTCCAGGCCCCAGGCCCCCGGCAGCCACAGTCTCACCGTCTGGGCTCCAGCTCAGGCACCTGGATGCGGCCTCCTCCCAGGCCCTGGCTAAAGCACCTTCCCCACCCTGACTGTTGTCCTATTGGGCCACCCGGTCGCCTGACCACTCAGCACCCCGACCCCAGAGCCCCGCAGGCCTCCGCCTACCTCGCAGCTTCTCCAGGGGGTTGTAGCAGTCCTCCCCCTCACCCCCGAAGTAGCGGCCGCAGTCCAGAAAGTAGGGCCAGGCCATGTCGATGGCGTCGAAGGCGGGCAGGCAGGCCTCCCGCAGGCCCTCGCAGACGTGCCGGCAGGGCC